CTGCAAAGAGACAAGGTATTTATAGGAGTGTGTACAAGGGGAGGGGGGGGGAGGATGAAAGTGATGTGGGGATGAATTGGTTTTGAGGGAGGAGGATGCTGAGAAAGAGAGAGAGGGAGTTTATAGCAGTGGGTTTGTATATGCATACACACATACACATGTATAAATAAATAAATAAATAGTTATATATGTGGTGGATTAAAAGAAAATCCAATGACACCAAGAATACATACCAAAAATATTCTCATATATACCATATAAAAAAATAGAAATCAAAAACATCTCTAAAATATACATCCATGAAAACCGTTCCTCACAACACCAACAAAATCCAATTAAGAAAAAATAATAATAAAAAAAATATATAAAAAAATAAAAATAAAACAAATGAATAAATAAATAAATAAAAAAACAATAATAGCTAAAAATCTCCCACTTAAACGCCTGATTGAAGCCAGAACACCGGCTTCTCGCTCCTGCGCCGACGGATATTAGGTCAACCAAGACGGTAAATCCCAGATACACGGGGAAGGCGGAGCAGGAGGGAGATGAGGAGGAAATGGAAAAATCATAGAAAATATGGTGGGTGTGTGTGTGCGGGGGGAGAGGGGGGGAGGCTGTGTGTCGCGCGCGTGTGTGTGAAGGAGGGAGAAAGGGGAGTGTGTGAGAGAGAGAGAGAGAGAGAGAGAGAATAAGAGAGAGAAAGAGAGAATAAGAGAGAGAAAGAGAGAATAAGAGAGAGAGAAAGAGAGAATAAGAGAGAGAGAGAGAGAGAGAGAGAGAGAGAGAGAGAGAGAGAGAGAGAGAGAGAGAGAGAGAGAGAGAGAGAGAGAGAGAGAGAGATCAAATTAATTAGGATATCAAAGTACAATTGTTTAATATCAATATCCATGACCCGAATAAGTAAATAAGAATAAAAAAGAGAAAATATAAAATGATGCTGAGAGGAGGAGGAAAACGAGAAGGGAAAATAACTAAACTAAAGAAGGAGGAAAAAGTGCAGTAAAAAAGGAAAATATAGAAAGAGGAAAATGAGAGAAAAGCAGAGATAGAAAGAGAAAAAAAAATAACAAAAATGAGCGGATTTCTCTCTCTCTCTCTCTCTCTCTCTCTCTTATTCTCTCTTTCTCTCTTTCTTTCTCTCTCTCACGAACCGACGTTATTTTAATTGCACTTGAACTCGCGGCGAAGAAGTTTATAATCATCTCACAAGATCCGTCTCTCATTTTCTTCTAACTAAACGCCATTTTCTCTCTCTCTCTCTCTCTCTTCTTCGCTCTTCCAACCTTTACTTTCTTTCCTTTTAGAACTTGGTGTTCCTTGTTTAATTTTCTCTTGTTTTTCTTTTCTCTCTTACTCATACCTCCATCCCTTTCCTCTCTTCTCTCTCCTCCTCTCCTCTCCTCCATCTTCCTTCGCCACTCCTCCTGATCCTCCTCCTCTCCTTTCCTCTCTTTCCCTCCTTCCCTTCCCCTCCCTCTCTCTTCCATCTGATCCTCCTCCTCTCCTCTCTCTTCCTTCGCCACTACTACCTCCCTCTCTCCCTTCCCTTCTCCCCTTTCTTCCTTCCTCCCTCCCTTTCCCTCTCCTCTCCGCTCTCTTCCTCCCTCCCTTTCCCTCTCCTCTCCTCTCTCTTCCTCCCTCCCTTTCCCTCTCCTCTCCGTTCTCTTCCTCCCTCCCTTTCCCTCTCCTCTCCTCTCTCTTCCTCCCTCCCTTTCCCTCTCCTCTCCTCTCTCTTCCTCCCTCCATTCCCCTCTCCTTTCCCTCCCTCCCCTCCTCCCTCGACTCATCTCTCCCCCTTCATCCCTCCCTCCCCCTCCCCCCTCTCTTCTAGGTCATAAATTTCCACTTCCAGACAAAGGCAATCAAAGAGCGTTCAGCGAGACATGGTGGCGGTTCCTTGATGAATGAGATGAGTGAGAGAGTGAGAGAGTGAGTGAGTGAGTGAGTGAGTGAGTAAGTGAGTGAGTGAGTAAGTGAGTGAGTAAGTGAGTGAGAGAGTGAGTGGACGAGTGAATGAAGAATGAATGAGTGAGTGAGAGTGAGTGAATGAGTGAGTGAGTGAGTGAGTAAGTGAGTAAGTAAGTGAACGAGTGAGTAAGTAAGTGAACGAGTGAATAAGTGAGCGAGTAAGTGAATAATTGCACGAGTGAATGAGTGAGTGAATTGAGTAGCTATGAGTAAGTGAGAGTAAGTCAATGAGTGAGTGAGCAAATGAGTGAGTGAGTGAGTAAGTGAATGAGTAAATGGGTAAGTGTGAGAGTACGTCAGTGAGGGAGTGGGTGACTGAACGAATAAGTGAACGAGTGAGTGAGTGAATGTTTGTGTTAAGTAAAAAGCATGGCCTACTTGGACCAAACTCACAGGGTCTTTTATAAACAGTATATAGTCCCACTTCAGAAACGTGTGTAATAAACATGGTGCCAGTATGCCCCTGGCGAACCCACGCTTGGCAAATGGAGGAAGAGGAAGAGGGAGTGAGAGAGAGAGAGAGAGAGAGAGAGAGAGAGAGAGAGAGAGAGAGAGAGAGAGAGAGAGAGAGAGAGAGAGAGAGAGAGAGAGAGAGAGAGAGATTGAGAGAGAGAGAAAGGGGAGGAGGAGGAAGAGGCAGGGGAAAAGGGAGAGAGGGAGGGAGTAAGAGACAGACAGACCGACAGACCGACAAACAGACAGAGAGCGAGAGAGAGAGAGCGAGCGAGAGAGAAATGAAAGAAAGACAAAAATGAAGGAAAAGGAAAAAAAAATATCTATCAACGACAACAATACCGATGATAAATGTACACTTTCAAATCTGCGGGATTTACTCGTCACTCAAAATTACACTTTCCCTGTCTGCATCCTTCCACCTGTTTAAAATCTGCACACGAATGTCTTTCCCACCAAATAAAACTTTTTTTTTTGAGGGTCACGGGCTCGTTTATCAAAAGCATGCAATAAACTGAGTTCACGGTCGCCATAAATCAATGAAACTGCTCCTACAGGAAATAATCCATTTGGAATACATTAAAATCGGGGTGATGGGTGATATGAACCAGTCCTCGTCCACTCGTGAAAATATATGCACGCAAAAAAAAATGAACAAAAAAACAAACAAAAAGCATAACCACACAGACGTTAATATAGGCACACGCACACACAAACACAGACATAGACATAGATACACACACACACACAAACACACACACACACACACACACACACACACACACACACACAGACGCAAAAGATATGCACACGTAAACGCGCAAACAGACAGACACAGACATAGACACAGATACATACACATACACACACACACACACACACACGCACGCACACGCACATACACAATTAAAGAAGAAGGAAAAGGTCAAATAAAAGAAGGAAGATAGAGAAAGAGCAAAAAGAAAAAGAGAAGAGAAGATCGAAAGAAAGAAAGATAAACAGAAAAAAAATATCCAAAAAATATATATAAATATTTCCAATCTCATTTTCCAGGACGGCCTCCGCTCCCACGCCACTGAACAGCTTAATACGCTCGTGGATAGCAACGGATAGCAACGTTGCACGGAACACTGTGCAATATCGCGAGGACTTATCTCCGGGACCGCCTTGTTAGCTAAGTTGCCTGTTGGCCGTTGTCGGCGGTGAAAGGGGGGCGGGGGGAGGGAGGGAGGGAGGGAGGGAGGGAGGAGGAGGGGGAGGGAGGGAGAGAGGGAAGGAGGGGGAGGGAGGAGGAGGGAGGGAGAGAGGGAGAGAGGGAGGAGGAGGGGGAGAGAGGGAGAGAGGGAAGGAGGGGGAGGGAGAGAGGGAGAGAGGGAGAGAGGGAGGGAGGAGGGAGGGAGAGAGGGAGAGAGGGAGGAGGAGGGGAGAGAGGCAGAGAGGGAAGGAGGGGGAGGGAGAGAGGGAGAGAGGGAGAGAGGGAGGGAGGAGGAGGGAGGAGGGGGCGGAAGGAGGAGGAGGACGGAGGAGGGAGAGGAAGGCGGGGAAGGGACAAATAACTATAATAATGGCAATAATAAACACTATATTCGCAAAATAAAACCAGCCTCCCAGCCATCCCGAGAGTCTAGAATCCCATCCCACGAGATATATCCGAATCTCACCTTCATCCCGGAAAGTGGGGGGGGGTGAAAAATAGCCAGATAAAAAAGTGCAAGCGTATCATTTGCAATCTCCCGTCCCCAATCCTCTCCTCGCTTGCAACCAATGCAACTTTGATGACCTTATTCTTAGCAATGCCGCCTGACCTACAAAGACATCGACAGGGCATGAATGTGTCTCCATGCATGACTATCTCGAGATTGTATGTATGCATCTAAGTGTGCACACATGCATGATCTTTATATGTACATAGACAGGCAGGCAGGCAGGCAGGCAGGCAGACACACACACACAAAGTCAACCACCCACACACATCCCCCCTCAGAAAAACGCCCACACACAGAAAAACACACAGATATACACACACACACACACACACACACACACATAAACACACACACACAGATATACACACACATATTCCCCCTCCACAGAAACACACAGAGAAAGAACACTCACACAGCCACGTATACACACACATGCAATAAAACAACAAAAAATCCATTTCACACAGACACACACACATCCCTCCTCAGAGAAACGCGCAGACAAAAATAACACTCACTCTCACACACACACATATAGAAACACACATGCAATAAAAAAAACTATTTCACACAGATACATACACACACACACACACACATCCCCCCCTCCCCCACCCCAGAAAAACGCACAGAGAAATAACACCCACACGCATTAAAAAAATAAAACTATTTCACAACAGTTCCCATGCAAATAACACCCAGCATCCCTGACCACACAGACGCCGCGAGAATAAAGCGAGGCAGCCACAGCGACGCCTAGATTTAATGATGTCGTTGTTATTCCGTATGCTAATGACTTCATGGATTCACTGGCGCTGGGACAAATAATTGAAGTCATTGTCTGAAGGGTATGTCGCGTTCATGGGTGAG